GGAGGGAAGTGGGAGGGGGGGTGTTTCGCGCGCGGGGGGTCCCTCAGCGCTGGGCGCGCGGGCATCCCGTCCGGCCCCGCGGCGTTCGAAAGCCGTTGCTTGTTTACCAACAACGGCCCCGCCCCCCGCCCCCTCCCTCTCTCTCGCGGCGGCGGGGGGGGGGGGGCCGCCCCGCTCTTTCCCCCACGCGGGGGGAACGAGGGGGGGGGGGGGCTCGCTCGAAATGGCCGTTTGTTTATTTACCTGGCGGCGCCTGGGTCCCTCCGGCGGCCGGCGTGGAGGAGGAGGAGGAGGCGGCGGCGGGGGTCAGCGGGGCAGCCTCCGCCTGCGCTGAGGCGGCTGCTGCTGCTGAGGCGGCGGCGGGCGGGAAGATGTCGCCCGGGCTGTCGTTCCTTGCGGTGGCGGCGGCGGTGGCGGTTTCTTCGTCGTCCTCTTCTTCTTCTTCTTCCTCCTCCTCTTCCTCCTCCTCCTCTTCTTCGTCTTCCTCCCCCTCCGGCTCGGACACCACCATCTCCTCCTCCTCTTCCTCGTCCTCCCTCAGAGGGGAAGCCATGGTGGTGGTGCCGGAGGAGGGGGTGGCCGATGGGTGGGGGAACACCGGAGCCGAGCTGACGGGCGGGGTGGGGGCGGCGGCGGCCCCCCTTCCCCGCCTCTCGCGCTCCCTCCCTCCCTCCTTCCCTCAAAAGCGACCCCCCTCAAACCATTCCCCCACCCTAAAAAAAAATCGCCCCCCAAAAGGGGGCGGTGGGCGTATGGGAGATGTTTGGGGAGGGGGGCGCGAGGAGAAGTCCCATGCGATGGCCGGGACTCTTCTTCTTCTTCTTCTTTCCTTCACAACTTTTCTTCTTCTTCTTCTTCAAGGTTTCTTCCTCGGACCCCCCTCTTGGGAAGAAAAAAAAAATTAAAATGGGGGGTTGGGGGTGCGCAAGGGGAAGGAAAGAATTTAAAAAAAAATGAGTCCCTCAGTTCTGAGGTGGGGAGTAGTTGAGAATCATATTTTGCCACCCGAGCAAAAAAGCAACAAAAATGGCCGCCTCTAAATTATTTTTTTTTAAAGCGCCCCCCCCCCCCAGGTACAAGATAAATGCCCCCCCATGAAAAAAAAAGAAGGGGGAGGAAAAAATATTTACCCAAAATGGCTGGCTTAATTTTAACCCCCTCTTCCTTAGGCTTCCAAAAAAGAGAGAGAGAAATGCCCCCCCCTCCCAAAAAAAAAAATTAAAAAATGCAACCAGAATCAGCTCCAAATTTAAAAAAACAAAAAGACCAAAAAAATAAAATTACCCAAGAAAAATGGGAAAAAAAAGAAAAGATAATCAGGATCAAGGCAGGTTTTTTTCCCCCCCTCTCTTCTTGCTTGTGGTGATATTTTCTTTTCAATCGCCCAAGATCTGTGGTCATGAACAATATTTAGACATTCCTGGCACTGGGGGGAACCTGACAAGATTTCTGCATAAAACAAAGATGGCTGCTCTAAATTATTTCTTTCTTTTTTTTTTCCTCCTCTCCTTAGGCTCTCCCCCCCTCCCTGCCTCCCTCAATAAAAATATTTTTTACGGGGAGGGGGAAGAGAGAGAGAGAAAAGGTTGGATTAATCAGTACTCATGCTCAGTTATGACATCAGCATAAAATTGTTAAAGGTTAACTAGTTCCATACTAGTCAGACCCACAACTTTGGTGTATGCTTATGGTTGCTTTACTAGCACAAGAGGGGGGGGGAAAGAATAGGGGTGTTTTATTTCCTCCCCCCTTTCTCCCTCTCTCTCTTTCTCTCTCTAACTTTAAATACTTCAAAAGGGAGTGGCTTATTTTTCTCCTTTTCCTCTAGGGCAAGAAAGGAAGAAGAGAAGAAAAAAAAAACCCCTCCCTGATTACTGCAATTCATTAAAAGATTTTTTTTGTCTACATTCACAAAGGAGATTTTATTGTTTTCCCAGATGAGATTCTTTTGATACGGGCAGGCAGACACAAATATGTATGCATATGATTTTGGTCAGGTTTTGCATTTAAAAGAGGCTATATTAAATTTAATAAAAATTTGAAAGCTAGATTTTGGCTACTCTTTAAATATGTTAGATTTGCCCCGCAGGAATAAATTATAAGACATAATTAAATTAATGTGATAAAATATCTACTACAAATTATTTTTTTTCACTGACTGACTGGGAAAAATTTTCAGCCACATTTGGGGGTGATCATGGCACATCCAGTAAGGACATTGATGCACTTAAATTATTGTGTGTGACTTTAAAAGAGTGTCTAAAATTAAACTGTACTTTTGCCTCCAGGGTAAGGTTCCCTCCCCCCCCCCCCCCCCAAAAAAGCACCTTGTTTCTAATGCATTCCTTGTTAGTGCTGTTTTATAATATTGTTGCATTATGGCTGAAAACCATTTACCCTATTTTTATAGCAGGGGAAACAACTAAAACCCATACAATTAAGATGGAGACAAAATGAGTTAACAATAGGAAGACAGCATCATTGTTACTGTCAAACCTAAATAGATATATGTTTGAGTTTAAAATGCATTTTACATCTTCCTCTTTACCTGCTAACAGACACATCTATGATAAGAATCTACCCGCCAACCTAACAAAAAAGTTGTAAAGGGCCTACATCTCTTCCTGTCTGGCTCTTGGGTTGTAGCGAATGGAAAACTGCCTGCATTATCTGAGAATTTGCCCTGGGCCACTGCGTGTAAGTAAGTACCATCCCTAACAAAAGAAAATGGAAGGAACAGGGGCTGCCCCTAAGTCTCTAGCGGCATGCTGCTGCACACCACCAGATAAACAAATCTCAAGGGGACAGCGACCTTACCATGTTCCTGGAAGGAACATATAAAGCCATTGATCAACTCTACCCACCCACTGGGATTTACTTCTGAGTAAACCCTGAACTATAAAGCATTTTCAGTGAGCAAGCTTTGGGTCAACCTTATCTTCTGAGTGAAATGTGGCTAGGGGGTCTGATCCTGCCAAATGTGCCATCTTAAGTGAATAGGCCCATCTCTGTGTTACAGAAACCTGCTATAATTCAAATACATTTGTGGAGCACAAACAGTGCAAACTTCGGTATGGTCTCCCTAGTTGAATCTGTTTCACACAAGTCATTTAAAAACTTAAAAAGTAATTTAAGATTCCTGTGTTGTTCTGTAGTCTTTCAGAAAAGTAAAATTCAAATTATTGCTGGTCCACGTGTCACTTTTAACGATAGGTCAGTTGGCCACATTTTAGCTTGACATGTATTAATCCAGCCCTCTGTGGTTAGTTTGCTACACCAACCCAAAAAATTGCACTCATTGAGTAAACCAGGGCAAGCCTATTGTGCAAACACAGCCGAGTGATTCTACTATTATTAGCATCAGGTTTCTGCGAAGTGCACATTGGTGTTAATGTTTAAAATTTGCTTTAATAGCCTTTGTCACAGGGCCCCTTGTCCATGCCTCTCTGGTTCTTGGACTCCCAGCTAGAAAAAGAAAACATTCCGATGCTGGATACAGATGTTATAGAATAATCATCTACAAGCACAATGTTCCTTCACTCAGGGTAATCCCATTTAAAATGGTGAGTCTTAGAATAATAAATCTGGAAACAATGAGGCTTATTCAAAGTATTTCAACTTTACTGAAACCGGACCACAGAGCAAGAGTCCTGTTTCAACACACAGTGTTATTTTGCAGTATCCTGGACGCGGTGACAAAAATTTACTCCAAATTTTACTCTCGAGGACTATGCATTTGCAGATTTTCTCCATCTGCAATTTTCTAAAAGTTCAAAATGAGGCCAAATAGCCCAGAAAAGAAAATTTTGCCGGTATCAGTACAGCATTTTTATATGCATATTTAAATTCATGCCACAGCACCCTTCATAGTATCCAGAAATGACATATAGTAAGTGACAATTGGGACCCTCACTTCAAACAATTGGCTGGGATGGGAAGAGCCTCTTTATGGGACAAGAAAGGAGGACCGTATAAATATCACAGCGCAACCTTTTCTTGTCTCCTTTTATGACTCTTCCAGCTTAGTCTAAGCTTTCCCCCCCCCCTGTAGACCGGTTATAAATGTCCACAGAGGAGTAACTGTGCCCGCAGGAGACACCGTTTGCCAAATGAATGTTATTCCCCATGTGGCTTTTACATTTAACGCAACACCCTCTGAAGCCCTCCAGGAGCCAGTGGGCGCCAATCCCATTCATTCATGTTGAAACATTTCCCTGGCAATGCTGGAAGCCAGTGCTCCAGAAGAGCCTTTGAGGTTTCACGCTATCAAAGTCTTTGACTGAGAAATGTGCTTTCTAGCATGCGTACCATCACTCCCCTTCCTAATGGAAGGAGAGGGAGCCTGACTCGGCACAGCAGCCTCTGTATTTGAGGGTTTACCAGCTCTGAGCATCAAAGTCTGAACGTAATTTTCTGAAACCCGGCCCAAATACTTAGGTTCTCATTGTCCAAGGCAGGAGATGGGAAGAGAGAAAACGTCCAGCTTTGGAGCTTCTTCGCAAGGTCCAACATGTCAGGAGTTCCATCAAGGGACCCGTGGCGTGGTATTTAGGAAGCCTCCATCTTCATTTCACCCATTTATCCCCACCACACTGCCCCTTGGCTGGCTTTCAAAGCAGCCCAAAGACGCACCCCCTCTGCACCTCGTAGGCCTGCCCTTCCCTTCAGGGAATTGTTGCTGCCCTGTGGTGCATAGGGGCCTGTTTAAAGGCCTCCCCCCCCCCATGATTGCTTAAGCGTGCAAGGAGAACCTGGTGGAATGGGACACACTTGAGCACAAAAGATCAAATTGAGAGCAGCAGTCTCTTGTCACAAATGCATCCACCCGTGAGGTCAGCACCTTCTGCCAGATTTTAGCCTCCAGGCCCAGACCTCTTGGCCCGATCCTTGAAAACTTGCCACAACTTTCCAGCTGCCTGTGAAGGTTGGATGTTAAGCGCGCTAAACGTTCCCGCCAGGCCTTCTGCAGCCGGTGATTCCAGGTCACGCTCTCCGGAGCCTACTTGGCTTAACAGCTTGGTTGGAGAAGCTGCCTCTACCACGGCCTTGCAGACCTCGTCCGTCTTAAGCTGCCTGTACAATTGCATCTGAAATACCCCAGCAATTCCTGATCCCTCAATTGCCACCGCCAGCAGGCTTCTTAAGCCCGGGCGCTCTGTGGTTATTAAGCAGCTGGTAAAAACACCATAGTTTCTTCCTGTAACAGACTTCTTGGCCGAACATTTTCCTACTCCTGATTAGCTTACGATGCATAGAAATAGCGACTTACTTTTCTTTTATAATAGGAATATTAGATACTCAACAATAATAATAATGACAAAAACTGCTACAATCCTTTTTGGAAGGATTGGTTTCCCCCCAGTGGAACAAGAGGCCAGAAGTGTGGGGTGGGTAGAGGGAGGAAAAGGAGCGAGCCCCAGCCAGGGCTTCTCTCCTGCAAAGCAGCTGTTAGAGGGAAGGAAGAGTTTGCTAGGGTTAAAGGCAGGAGCAGGTGGGAGGAGAGGCAGCCCAGCACTGGAAAGGGGTGGGGGGGGGGGCGGAAAGCAGGTTGTAAGCTTTCTTAGGAGGGGTGGATTGTTGCCTTCCCTCCCCCACCCCACCCAAAAGAGTCTGGAGGATGGATGGCAACAATCCCATCTGTTCTCCGTACAAGTGAAAAATCTCCCTGGGGGTGATGGGGCCTGCCAGAACTGTAGATAATATTCGACCTTCAAGTCTCATTTCACAACCCACACATAGGATTTCTCTCTCCCCACCCCCCTTTCCCCCCCCCTAACAGCTGTCACAGACAGGAGCCGAACAAGGAGGGAAGGGGGAAAAAAGGCAGCTGGCCTGATGTTGCCACAGCCTTGCTAGCATTATGTGGAACTGGACCGATGCCCATCTGTCACTCTCTCTCTCTCTCTCTCTGCCCTAACGGAGGGAGGGGGCAGACCCAGAGGGCAGAGGGCGGAGGCTTCCTTCCTGGGTGGCTGCCAAGGTTGACCCGAGGAGGGAACAGAAGTTCCCGTCACCACCACCTGCCAAGCCAGATCAAAAGCAGACCTTCCAGGTTAGGGTCTGCGGGGTGCCCTCCCCCCCCCCACTTCCATTGTTAAAAGTCACAGGACTAGAAAGTTTCTTCTTTGGGGGGGGGTCATAGATTAAGCTTCCCTTTTGGCGAGTCTCCCCGCGCTCTCTGCGCATTTTATCTGTATTTTATCTGTACATCCCCCAGATGGGACTTTGGGGACATACCCATGATGATCTGGCAGAGGATGCGCCCCCCACCCCCCACCTTTTGTGCCTTGCCCCTCAAAAAATCCAAATCAGCCTACAGTTTTCTCTAGGAACCGAATCAATTACGGCTCCTGCTTGACTGGTTTTGGGATCAAGAGATGACAGGAAGTGGATTAGAAAACGAACTAAGGTGGCTTCATGGGCTACTAGTAGAGCAGAATGTCATCCTTGAAGACCTCCAGACCAGCAACTCTTGTTTGCTCCTTTGCTTTACAAACTGAAATGAGTATTCCCCCCCTCTCCCTCCCCCCTCCCCCAGGTAGGCAGTCATATGCGATGCCACCCAGCACTGGATCACTCTGCGTTTCCACGCTCCCCCTCCCACTTGTAAATGGTGGGCTCAGAAAGCAAGAAGATGGACGCAAAGCCGGCCCTGGGAGACCCACCAGCAACCTCAGATCACACTCCTGCAATTAGCACACACCTGTACACTTAGAGGAGGGTTTAAACTCCCTGATCCCCGAGGGGCCGACTTAATTCTCTTGGAGTCTTTTCTGCTCTCTTGCAGTGGCTGCCCCTCCAACAGAAGTCGGCCCCCTCCCCGCCTCTTGGGACCGGGGGGGGGGGGTGTCTGTGTGCATCTGAGCCCTGGATCTCAACCAGTCCTTGAGGCCTCTTTCCGATTACCAACCTCTAAGCCAGGGGTGGGCAATTATGGCCCTTTGCCAACCTAGCTTGCTGCCTCTCAGGAATTCTGGGAGTTGAAGTCCCCAGGTCGTAAATGGACCACCCACCCTTGCTATAGCCTCTGGATCAGAGGAAGCACAAAGACGTGTCTTGTGGGAGCCAGTCCAATGGAGACAACCCAAGCCACAGAATGCCTTCCTAACAAAGGCTGCATCTCGGGATCACTATGGACTAGAAACACTTTTATTTCGGTTGTTTTAACCTGTAGTTTAAATGCAGAATTATCACCAGTAGACCTCAACTTACCACCATTCCTTTTAGTGATCATTCGAAGTTACGACGACACTGAAAATAGTGACCATTGTGACCATTTTATACACTTATGACTCTTGTAGCATCCCCACGGTCACATGACCAAAAGTCAGATGTTGGGGCAACTGACTCACATTTATGACGGTTGCAGTGTCCTGGGGACAAGCGAGTACCTCTTGCAACCTTCTGACAAGCAGTGTCCGTGGGGGAGCCGGATTCACTTAACAATTGTGTTCCCAATTTGAACAAGTGCAGTGATTCACTTTAACTGTGGCAAGAAAAGTTGTGACATGGGGCAACACTTAATCTTGTTCAGCAAGAGCAATTTTGGACTCCATTGTACTTGTGTGTGTGTGTGTGTGTGTGTGTGT